GATGCCTCCATCTGACCTTGGCAGAGCTCCTCCCTCCTGCCCGATGGCCCTGCATGTCAGTGACCGGCCACCTGACCCCCTCGGCTATGCGCCCCACAGCTTCCTTAGTTCACTTCAGATCCTTTCAGAGATTTGTCTTTCATTCAAAAGTAAACCATGCTCCCAGGGGAATTGAGAAAGCTGGGATGAGCAAGAAGAGAACAAGGAAGGATGTCTCAGCCCCTGCACCCTGAGAAAGAAACACCGAGAACATCCTGATGGCTCCTTCCTGTCTTTCTACGACTATAAATGTTTTCATTTATAAAGACTGAGCTATGCTGTAATGACGTCCTATAGCCTTCCTTTTCACTTAGAACTCCAATGTGGGTTTCTTTCCATGATATTAACTCTCTTATCTTTGGAAACTTGGAGAGACATAGAGATTCATACGTCTGTACGGCTATGTACACAAAGGGTTGTATCTTGCAATCATTGTGCTGTGAATCTTTTTAACTAAATCTTTATCAGCATCGATATTTATTCCACTAGGATGAAGTTCTGGAAGTGAAATTGGTGGGTGAAAGAACATGGGAAACGTTCAGGTTTTCTGTGTGTGTCTGCTCAAGGGGCTGCCTGCGAGGGTTGACGCTCACTGTTAGTGTGTAATAGTGTTTATTTCTCTGCATATGCTCTTATCAAATAAACTGTCCTATTTCCTCTATTATTAGGGAACAGAACGTTCAGTCATGTTTACTGGGCATCTCTCCTATTGTGTGTGCTGTTCTTGTCTCTGCTTCCGCGGTGCTCGCTTCGTGTCAGCTTGAAAGCCCTCTCACTGGGAAGGAGATGAAGCCTTTATGCAACGGAATGCAAATACTAGGCTCCAGTCATTCATCTTTCACATTTATTTATGTTTTGAATCCACTGGGAGGTTCCGCCCCTGCCCGCCCTCCGCGCCCCCCCCCGCCCCAAAATGGGGCAGCTGCTGCCTCCACTATTTCTTTCTCCTGAGGTAAAATCTCTCCAAGAAAGGCACAACTCTCGAATTCCACGAGTTCTGACACCTGTTTACTCCAGTGCACTTTCCACCCCCATACAGACGTGTATCACCTCCTGAGCCTGAGAAGTTCTTCTTGCCGGATTCCCCCACCCACATCATCAGAGAGAACCAGACTTCTGATTCCTAACCCCACAGATCCTTTAGGCTGGTGCCTGAGTTTCATATTAATGGAGGCATACAGTAGATGGCCTTTTGTATGGGACTCTAACGGTATTTTTTTTTTTTAAAGATTTTATTTATTTATTTGACAGACAGAGATCACAAGTAGGCAGAGAAGCAGACAGATAGAGAGAGGTGGAAGCAGGCTCCCTGCAGAGCACAGAGCCCGATGTGGGGCTCGATTCCAGGACACTAGGACCATGACCTGAGCCGAAGGCAGAGGCCCTAACCCACTGAGCCACCCAGGTGCCCCTCTAACGGTATTTTTGATGTTCGTTCCTCTGTCTCAGCAGTTCATTCTCTTTTATCGTTGGGTAATAGTCTCTTGTATGAATGTGCCACCTTGGAAACTTATCTTTCTTTGCTGATAAAACCTCACATTTTAACTGCAACATAGTCAAATTTATTAGTATTTCCCTGTGCAACTGTTGGTGGTATTCCTTCTGTCATCTAATCTGTCCACGAACAGATTTTTCTTAGTACTTTCCTGGCTTTTCCTCTTCAATACTTAAATCTTTATCTGATGAGGTAGGAATCCAGCTTTTATACTCTTTTCTTCCGACGATTAGCAGGGGCCCTTACCACACTGCTTTCTCCTTGATTGGAAAATCTGCCTTTCTAGGTTTTAAACCCTCACGGCGATGATGTTCCAAATGCTAGCCAACTGCCATGATGCACGCATTGACCAGCCTGGGAAGCTTCCCCCGGGGAGGAGGAGCTGGGACAGACAGACCACGCACGTGCCCGCCGCATCTCAGCTTGGGTTTGCTGCTTTACTTTCTGGGACTTTCCTTTGATCTTGGCCAGTGCATTATTTTCATTATGGAGCCTTGATAATAGGTTCTGTTTTCTGGGACCACCTCCCCTCCCCCATTACTCTGCCTTTTTTTTTTTTTTCTTTTGGATTGTCCTCAAATGTTTATTCTTCCAAGCTAAAGGTTCCACCATTTGTCAAGTCCCATGATGTTCCACTGGGGTTTAATGTTATATGTTACAATGTTACATTGCTAATGTGATTGGGAATTTTCCATCATGTTTTTCTAATGCATATAAAGTGCTCACCACAATGCCTGCCACATAGCAAAACTCAATAGTAGCATTTACAATCATTGATTGAATGTACATCTGAAAGCTATTGGATTTTTTTTTTTTTTGGTATATTTATAATTGGCCACTCTATTGAACTTCCAGATTTTTTCTTTTTTATATGAATCTTTGGGGCTGTTTTTATTTTTGATTGAAAAATTTGTTTCCTTAACACTGGGATTCATTTTCTTTCTGAGACAAAACCCTTTTGAGTTTCGGACTCTCTGTAAAACGCCTTTGTCTGAAGCCCCAAGTGGATGTTGCCTGGTGTCCGGGCTGGTACCCCACCTGTCCCCTTGGGTTCAGTGTTAGAGACCCTCCTTTCTCTGTGCACACATCTACTGTCCTAATCCTTCTTACTGGCCGTCAACTGTCTCCTTCAGGCAGACATGCCCTCAGAGACCAAGATCAGACCCAGCTGCTCAGGCTCCCACGTTCTTCTCTAGAAAAGGTGAGTGGGGTTCTTGCCTCACTCTTCAGAGGAGCTCTGAGAACAGCAGGCGAGGCTCACCAGCACATCACAACACGACTACTTATCCTTTATGCAATTCTACCTTTTTATTAATCCTGCCCCTGATTAGACCCCATAACTCTCCCATGGGACTGTTTCTCCAGGCACATATCTCTTATTTTGTATTTGTAAAATTAATTTTACTAGACATATGCATTTCCCCAGCATTTTCTGATTATCGTATACTATAGATAATTCATGAAACTCTGTAACTTAATTTTTATCATCTGATTATCACTCAGCCCTAGATTCTGTCTCCCCTTATATGAACATTTGATAAATGTACTTCATCTGTCATCAGCCAGATCACTAGTAATTTTCTTCAGCTATGTCTTTTGTTTTAAAATTCTGCAATTCACTATTCATTTGCTTCAAAGTTAAGCTATCTTAGGATAGGCATTTCTACTTCGAATGCTCAAGGTTTTCTAATCCTTACCTATTTCAATATATCTAAAATATTGTAAAATTGTGCCCTTTCACTTTGAAAATTCAATTTTTACTGACATAGCTACATTTTTTCCTCTGGGTGTCAATGATCAAGAACAGTATTAAAACGAATTTCTGCTCATTTCCAAAAGGAAAGGCCCTTAAGATGAGCAAATACATCTCCTCCAGCACCCCCCCAGGCCGGCTTTGTCACAGATACCCGGTCTCTCCGTCTCCAGGATTATCCTAAGACTGATGATCAAACTGACCTGTTTTCTGATTTTAAGTTCGGGAGAGTTGACAGATTCTCCACCCCTCCCCCGCCCCCCAAGTTCCTTAATACCACAAATAAAATAACACCAGAAAAGCTAATTTTCTCTCCAGAAAAAGCGTCTGGGCCATAAAACTTGGAAAGGTTGAGATTTCAGTGGATGAGTGAAGGGTATCAGCCTTGTCAGGTGATGTGATGCTGGACACGGAGGGCAGCCCCTCCCCTCACCCAGCAGGTGATTTCCGAGGACCTAATCACCGCCCCCAACTTCTCCGTAGATTTTTCTCAGTCACCATTGAGAAACTTGAGTCACTCAAGCTGGGGGGACGTTCCTGTTGCACGGGACCTGCCCGTGTTTATCTTCACGTGCACTTCAGAATAATGCCAGGGTCCAAGCTCCTGTCGGCAGAGCCTGGCCAGTGAGGACATTTTGGCACAAGGGAAAAAAACAAAAACACCCAAACACCTTGGATTCAGCTAAATGATCTCTCTAGATTCTGCTTTCTAGGAAAGAAGCTGGTTTAGTGACGGGACAACGTATGAACGAAATTCGAGATCCCAAGTTTTTGGCGTCTCCAGTTTGGGTTTTGACACACCTGGACAGGTTTCAAAGTACCCGGCCAGGTACAAAGTTTTAGGGACGCGAACTAAGCGTCCGCACCTTCACCCGAGGAAGCGCGACACCAAGCCGTCGCCGAGAGCGAGCGGCCCGGGGCGCCGCCGCGCCACCCGCACGCAGGTGTGCATGCCCGGCCGGGCCCCCCCCCCGCACACCTGTCGCAGGTCCTCCCTCCCTCCGGGAGACACCCGTGACGCGAGAGCAGCAGGCGTGCCGCGGCCGCAGGGCTGAGGGCGCTGCTAAGACAGAAGCAGGTCGGGGCCGGGGCCCCTGCGCGCCCGCGGACCGACAGCCCGCCGAGGGTCCGGCGGGACTCGAAGGGCCACTCCACACGGCCCAAAGCACCCCGACCCGGCAGCCCCAAGTGCCGACTAGTCGACGGTGACTAGCTCTCGCTCCAAGACTCGCCGGCGGCGCAGGCGCGGTGGGCCCAGCTTCCGCCCCCGGACAGGCCCGCCGGCCGGTGCCCCCAGCCCCGGAGGCCGCGTTCCCGCCGCGGGGCAGGGCGGAGCCCGCCGCGCCTGCGCACTCGTCCTCTGAGCCGCCCGTGCATCCCCGGGAGCACGCCGCACCACGTGACCGCTGCCAGTAGCCAAGATGGAGGCCGCGGCCAGGCCCCAGCGGCCCCCTGCCTCAGCCTGAGCACAACTGTGCGCCCGCTAGGCGCTCAGGCACGCAATCCTGACCACTAGACCCGCGCACAACAGTTCTCCGGGGCTGCTGAGTGGAGCTCGCCAGGGCGAGGGCCCATGTTTACAATCACAACGCGCTCGACTCCCTGCGCTTTCTCAACCGCGAAGCGCCCAGCGGCTGGCGCCTGGAGCGTCCTTTGATAACCCCGCCCCCTAGGATTGGCATCTCGGGCAGCCAATGGGGACCAGGACGTGTGCTGGAAGGCGGGCAGAGGTGGAGCATCCCTACCTTTTGTAGGGCGTCTGGCCTGGCGGTTGGTGGCCGTGGGACGAGGGGCGGGAGCACACGGGGCGGTACTCGGGGCCCCAGTGGGCCAATGGAAGGACGGCCGGGCGGCAGGGGAGGGCGGCCGGAGGGCGGGGCCGAGCCGTAATTGACGAGCTCTTCGTTAGAAATCGGGCAGGGGGGAGGGGCCCGAGAGGGGAGGTGATGCAAGGCTGGCGCAGCCAATGGCTGCGGAGCCGCCGGCTGGGGGGCGGGGCCGAGGCGGCTGACGGGCGTCGGGCGTGGCCTATCAGCTCCCAGCTCTGTGCTGGAGGGGGGAGCGGCATCATGGTTCAACGTGGGTCAATTTTTTGTGAATGAGGAGGGGAGGTTGTGGGGCCGCCGCCGCGGAGCACCGTCCCCGCCGCCGCCCGCGCCCGAGCCCGCGCGCCCGCCCGCCCGCGCCCGCCTCAGCAGCCTGGGCCCGGCGCGCCGCGGCCGCGTCCCCGCTGTCGCCGCCGCCCCGAGCTCCCGCCCGCCCGCCGCCGGCGGTGGTGGTGGCGGCGCAGGCTGAGGAGATGCGGCTCCGAGCGCCCGCGCGGGGCTAGAGCGCCCGCCCCGCCGCCGCGGTAAGCGCACCCCGGCCCGGCCCCGGCCCGCGGGCCATTGTCCGCCCCCCGCCCGCCCCCGCCCCCGCCCGCAGGCCGTCGGCCCCCCGCCCCCCCCCGCCAACCTTCCCCCCCCCGCCGTCGCCGGCCCGGCAGGTGGACTCCCGGGTCCGCGCCCCGGCCCCGGCCCGTGCGCAAGGCCGCGCGTGGCGCCCAGCCCGTGGGTTTCCGGAGCGGGAGCCCGAGCCCGTCCTGCACCCTTCGCTGCAGCCCGGCGGCTGAGGCCGGGCCCGGACGGCCGGCTGGCCTGGGGGGAGGGGGGAGCACGCGCCCGGCGCCCGCCCAGGCCGAGCCATCGGCAGGTGGGCCGGGGGGCGCCCGGAGTCGGGCGGGTGCCGTTTATGTAACTTTGTCCAGGGCTGTGAGTTTGCAGAAAACGTCCCTGCCCGGGGCTCGCGGCGCGGGTGCCCCGGTCCGTGACGGGAGGGGTGGGGGTGCTGCTCGCGCCCCCGGCTGGGTGCCCGCAGGCTTTCCACAGGCCGAGATGTGGCCCCGTCCTGCCCAGACAGTGGGAGCCGCGTTTCCCGACATTGCAAAAGCATACCACGGGATTGTAAGCAAATTATCTCGTATATACATTTAACGTTGGAATATTTGACACTGTTACAGCACGAGACCGCGCGTATCAGTTGGAAAGGCCGGGGGTGGAACCCAGTGTACTCATTTAATGCACATCAAAAATTTGTAATAACTTGCAGCAGCTGATATGAGTGTTTTCTTTATTGCATGTTGTAAATTGACCTGCTGTGACACAATTTTCAAATAAAGCGTTGCAGAAATTAAACTTAAGTTATTTTAAAACTAATGACTTTCTTAACTAAATCTTAATTGCATTACTGTAGAGACCTGCCTAATTGCTTGCTGAGAGCCGCGCTGCCTGCCCTCCGTGAGGGAGGAAGGGGCCTGGGTAGTTACTTTGCTTCCTCTCTTTTCTCTACTCAGGCTTTTCTGTTTATTTCCCACAAACCACCTATGCATGGAAGGCCTGGGAGTAAACATGTAAACAGCCCTCACCCAGTGCCAGCCCAGCAAGATTCGGGGAATGCTGGTGGGTTTGCACCTTGGCCTGGTTTCACTTTTTCTTTTGTAATACGATCGTGGTTGCCTGGAGTTTTAATTGCCTGTGATAATTCCGCGCATTAGGTTAGGGATGGTTCTATGAAACTGATGTGGTTTCAGAATCGAGCCAGGGAAGGTGGTGGTTGGTGACGATCAGGGAGAGGAAGGAGAGGCATCGAATCAGGAAAACTCAGCTGCTTGTACACGAATATACACTCCAGCAATTACAAAGCAACAAAAGTTATTGCAGAATTTTGCAGTAACTATGGCAACACAATTACTCTATTATAATTGGAAATGCAAAATGCCACCCTGTTAGAAGTTTCATCAGAATGGAGTTTTGGATATCAAAAATAGGCAAGATTTAATTTTTTTTTTTCAGGTAGCTCCTGAGAATTCTAAAATCTGTGTTCAATTATCTATTTTTAAGACTGATCAAGCTTTCCCAGATATTCTACTCCCTTGGATCTGTGGCATCTTTCCCCAGAATTCACATTTGTGTGGGAGGCAAGTATTTTCCTGCCTTAAAAACCACACACCCTGACACATTGTAAGACTTCTATAGCTTTCTGGGTTCTGGGCTTTTATTTTAAAGATCAGATACCATCCTAAAGAGAGCGGTAGTCAGAAGAGGAGCGGGATTAATGCAGCAGGCAGATGGAACACTGCCCTCTTTAGGGTTAGTTGCATTCTCCGGCAAGCTGGCAGCAGGAGAGCCTCTGGGGGAGCCTCTGGGGGAGCCCTTGGGGCTGGGGGTGTGGGGGGTGGCGAGCAGATGACTGTGGACTCTGGTCAGCCTGGATGGCCTAGGGAGCAAGGACAGATGTGGCCACAGCAGCCCCGAGCCAGAATGTTCTGTGGTCAGCAGCTTCCCAGCCCTGCAAAATCAAACTGTCCACATGCCATGTTCTCAGAGGCCTTGGGGGCTGTTGCTGTAGCAAGGTCGACAGAGCGGCATGGCACCCTGGCCATGTGCCGCTGGAGTGGCTGATCTTGACTTTCAGAGGTCAGAAACCTGCTTTATAAGGCTGTCCCTCTTGATGTGTACCAGGGGGACTCCAGTTCTGGAAGTTTCCACACGTTGTGGGGTTGCTGCAGTTTAATTTCGTTATAACTCTTTCCTTTTAACTACTGCATATTTATGCCCAGTAATCGACTTCCATTTCCCAGCTTCATTGTGAGGTTTCAATGCAGCATGAATGGCTTTGAATTTCTCATCCTTTGATGTTGGGGGTGGCACCAGAGGAAAGGCGACTTTGTGCCGTCTTAATTGCCAGAGCAGAAGAAACATTTCATCACTCCTGTAGAATCCGGCCATACCGTTCTCTATTGAAAACGGCTGGGCTTTCATCGCTCAGAAGCTTTCCTGAGTAATAGATTAATACCTGATGTAGGGAGCCGGGGCGGGGGGTGGAACGCAGGGAACGGGAGACAACTGCTGCACTGGGAGGCCCCGGGCGACAGGCTGTGGCCAGGCTTGCGTTCCTGGACCAGAATCGATGAATGCAGCTGGGGCTAGGGGCCTGGCCCAGCCTCGATGTGCGTGTGTGTGTGTGTGTAAGTGTGTGTGTAAGCTTCAGATTTTGCCCTCACTCTGCAGCCTGTGAAGCTGGGCCCCAGCTCCTGCTCTTTTTGCCAGGGTGCGAGTCCTTGCCCTCTCCGGAGCAGCCCCCCATTGATCCTGGGGTGGGAGGGGCAGGCATCAAGTTTGGGAAGGAGTTTTGTTTCCATCTCAGACAGTCGGCATGTGCTGGGGTGTTAGGGGGTTCGGGGCCACTGGTCTTGACCTCAGAGAAAGGTGTAGCATCTTCTGGTTCAAGTCAGTCCATGGCAGAATTGATGCTGCATTTTAACAGATCTTGACAGCATATGTTTACAGAGTGTTCCTCTTGGGGAAAAAAAGTCCCGAAGTAAGATCTGTGAGTTCTCTTCCGAAGATCAGTTTTCTCTTCTGGGGTCTGTTTAGGGGTGCAGGCTTGGCCGTGGCATCTGCGGCCAGTTGTATGCCTTTTCTGACCTGCCTCCTACTTCATGTGCCAGAGGGAAGGTCCAGGGCCCTACGTGGGTCACCTTTCCTGTGATCATCCATGTAACGTTGGGACAGATCACCGTCTGCATCACTCAGTGTGGAAACTGGAACATCTCCTAGTGAGCAGGTCCTACCGCTAGCTGGTGATTGTAACAGACCAGTAGCTAATGTTTCGTGAGCACCTGCTTGGGGCCACGTTTTGTTGTTAAGTACTTGGTCATGTGCATCCCATTTCCCTCTCCCAGGGCCTTTTGAAGCGGTTGCCACTGGGCCCGTTTTGCAGAGGAGGAACCAAAGAGAGAAGTGGAAATGGAGCATCTGGTACTCCTGGCTATATCAAGTCCCAGATGCTGATTCTCCCTCTCTTCCTGGCCTCTGCAAAGCTCAAATTCAGTGTTGCTGAGGTGTTTGGAAGAGCATAGCCTCTTTGAGAAGATGTCTGTTGGGAAGATCTTTTGGGTTCAGTGGGGTCTGGGAAGTAATTCAGGTTTTCTCATGTTGTCTGCTGTCATGTGTGTGGCATCGTAGGACTGGAAGGGATCTTAACAACTGTGTCAGCTGATGGTCGTTGCATCCTGTGCTTGGACCTTCTGAGCCTGTCTGAGGGTCGGCAAGGATGGTGGAGGGCAATTTGGGCTCCACGTCCATTTCAACCAAAGCACTTTGGCCTTCACTATTTTGTCTGCAGGATTGCCTTGGAAGATTTTATTGGAAGAAAGCATACTAAGGACCAAAAACTTTGAAAAACTACCAATTTAATCTATTCTTACTGTCACACCAAGCCAGAAACCTTAAAAATAAAATACTGACAGACTTAACAGCATAAAAATTAAAGAAGATTCTTTTTGGCAGAAGATTCCATAAGTGAGGTTCAGAGACAATGAGAGAAGTATATAACAAGACGTGCCTATATGAGCCTAATAGCTAATATGTAAAGAGCTTTTGCAAACCAATAAGGATGAACATCCCTATTGTAAGTTGAGCAAAGCCCATAAATAATACAAATCACATGAGCTAATGTAAAAAGCTTAGCTTTATTAATGGACGGTTTCAGGTGAAAGAATCCATTTATGCCCACAGTATCAGCAGAGGTTGTTTGATAACACCTGTTGGTTGGTATCACAATTCCTATCTTCCATAGTTTCTGTGAAATCAAAATAAATTATTATGTGGCAAGTACTTAGAATGGGGCATGTAGTGAGCACAATGAGCCAACACAAGTGTTGGCTGTTACTGTTATTTGTTCTCTAGAG